CGGGAAAATAAATGGGCCAGTGCTGAGAAGAAGCAGCACAGGAACTCAGTCACTAGAGGTAGGAAGGTGTTTTTTTTGTGCCTTTTTAATAGCACCACTTTCAAACACCCTGTATAAAAGTGTCAGCAAAGGAATGTACACCACTTCTTGAAACTTGAAAGCCGTATCATAAGTGGTCAGCCGGCCTTGCGAATGGTTTTGAAACGTATTACGTAAAGTAATGTTTGGAGGTATGTATGTAAAAAAATGTGTGTGTTGATCCAGTGTTCGGTATAGCAAATATGAAAATCCTTGATTGCCTAAGGTGTTCTGTTTGGATTTGGGGTTCCGTGCCTCAGAGAGAAAAGCTAAGGTTTCTTATGCCCGTTTTCACCATCAATATCTAATTTTTAAGTGACCTCTATGACAGCAAAATTCATATTATGTGTTACCATATGGGTCACTTAAAAATTAGGGATTGATGGTGAAAACGGGCATTAGCGTCACCTTTTTTTTACAAAAGAAACATAAGACTATATATTTTTGCTGTAAAATTGCCTGTAGCTGGATTTTGTGTCGTTATAAATTTCTCAGTCCGTCCCCTTACCCCTTATACAGGGTGGAAACGATAAGTGATCTCACTAAACTAAACAAGATATCAAAAATTGGTTACTGATCCTGAAAGTGCTTCATGACCTCTATCAAACGGTACCAATAATAGGTTACAGAATTAAATGGATCATTCCATATATATACATATATTTAGTACAGCACTATTACCTATATTGATTGTGGTACAGCAACACATTAGAAGTGTTAAAAATGTGATTAACTAATTCTAATCCGGCACTGTTTAGAAGGTCAGTGATAGTAACGAACCCTCATGTCAAGCCCGACTCGCACATGGCTGAATTTTTGTAGGCTCATTTCTGAGATATTAGCAATTATATTGTACTGGTATTTTAAAACAAAACTGGATAGTGGACTACAAACGAAAAGCAATATTTAAAAATGTATGAAAATTCAGTCACAAACTCAATTCAAAGTCACAGCTTATCTAAAAAGTTCTTCTTTCTATGAATTCAAAACTTTTTTTAAATTATATTTCTATAAGTTTTAAAATAAATATAGTTAAAATTGAATTCGTAAATTGGTGACGTCAAATTATAATAATAAAGCTTACAAAATCTAGAGCGAATATTATTGCGTTTTGACAGATCTTAAAAGTATGTCAATTTTGATTGTTGATGTAAATGACTCGACTTTCCATAATAGTGAAAAGGGACAGCATACAATAAAATAAAAAAGTTGTCAATTTTGGCATTTAGTAGGTTAGAAAGCTGACAAACCATTAACATAAACATTTATGGTGAAAACATAAAGATAAAACGTGTGGTTCCGTCAGATAAAAATATAAGACCACCCCCACTGTTCCCATGGATGTCGTAAGAGGCGACTAAGGGACAAATATGCGAGCATCAGGCCTCCTCAACCCGTCTGGCCAGCGTGGGGAGTGTAGGACAAATCCTCTTGCCTCTGGTAAATTAGAGAGGGTCGTGCTCCGGAAGTGAACAAGAAATTGTAATGGATTGATGACGACGAAAATCCTGCATTTTGTCTCTGGAAATTAAAAATTGGGGGTGGTATGGGTATCATACTGTACGGGAACTACACGTTGAATCTCTAAGGCTGGGTTGACCATCTTACTTTACCGTAACTTTAACGATAACCGGTGTTTTTTTGTATGGAGTTTGACAGCTTTTTGACGTTTGCTAAAGTCAAAGTAAGATGGTGCAACTCGGTCTTAAGTAAAAAGAGTTTTTGCTAATTTAATCAATCAACGTTATTTTTAACCGACTTCAACAAAACGAGGAGGTTTTCAATTCGGGTGGTTGATTTTTTTTCCGTGACACTTCTAAATAATTCCAACTGCCTCAATTAATTTGATTCTGTCATAAAAACTTTTAACAAATTCTGTCATAAAAACTTTTAACAATTTTCTTGGCAATTTGCATCGCGTTCCAATTGATTCTCACAACGATTTGAAATCACAGTTATCCACCGTTAAACCGCCAACCACAGACATCTAAACTTGGCCTTAATTACTCTCATGTACTTCTGTGCCATGAGATGCAATTATTTGCATGCAATCATTTGAGGGCTTCAGAAATAGATAAAACCTTGACAGTGAGTAGAGTTTAGTTACAACAATGTAAAAGAATTGTTGTAAGGCCGCCTGGCTTACTACAATACAAATCATCATCATTTCAGCCATAGGACGTCCACTGCTGAACATTGGCCTTCCCCAATGATTTCTACAATGGCCGGTTGGTGGCGGCCTGCATCCAGCGCCTTTCTGCTACCTTTATAAGGTCGTAGGTCCACCGTGTGAAATCATAAACCAGTCAAAACAATGACTAAAATAAAATAAATATTTTTTCTTTCTTTCTTTCTTTAAAATGTCAATAAAAATATCTAAAAACAAAAAAGAGAAATGCAACTTTGAGTCGCCTACAAAATGGAGGTCAAGTTCTAACTTTGGAAATCAAATGACTACAAAACTAAAAAAGTGTGTGGTTTGGCTTATTACTCGGTCGATTAAAGGTATATCCACATTCTTATGGAGACTAACTCCCGTATTCACAAACATTTACTCTGAGGACAGTGCGCGTGGACGCACAGGATGACACACGAACCAATCACAGAGCTCTACTCAACGCTGTGCGTTCAATTTGCTGCTTCACTTAAGCAAGCATCGTTTGTGAACACGGGCGTATTTGTATAACCCACTTTTGCCAGTTCTCAGTATATTATGCCTTGCTGTTTGTTACATATTTCTAGGTATACTGACAAATATTTATTGAAGTCTCAGAGGTCGAGGTCTACTTTTGACCTTAAATAAGTCCATGGAGTAACCTCCAAATGTCTTGGATTAAGTGTATAATATTTGTGAATTTCATAAATATATAAATATATTAGTGGTTCGATTAATTATGATTTATAATTTACTAGCGACTTGCCCTGGCTTCACACGATTGTAAAAAAGGAAGTGAAAAATCTGAAGGTCAAAACTCATAAAAAACTCATAACTCATTTATTTTTGCAAGTAGGCTTTTAAAAAGCACTTTTACATGTCCCAGTATTAACCCTACCACTGCTTCGGGACAATAAATAGGCCAGTGCTGAGAATATGCTGAGAAGAAGAGTGTTAGGGTCATTTCCTTTGGTAATCCAGTTTTCATGATCCTGCATTTTTGTGTCCACACGACAGTATCCCGTTTTTTGTAGGACGGTATTTGCAAAAAAAATATGCAGTAAGCTGCTAGTGGGTACACTATCTTTACTAATATTATAAATGCGAAAGTAACTTTGTCTGTCTGTCTCTCTCGCTTTCACGCCTAAACCACTGAACCGATTTTGATGTAATTTGGCATAGATATAGTTTGGGTCCCGGGAAAGGACATAGGACAGTTTTTATCCCGGTTTTTGAAACAGGCACGCGCGCGCTAAAGTTTTTCTGTGACAGACCAAATTACACGCGGGCGAAGTCGCGGGCGGAAAGCTAGTTAACAATACTTGTAATTAAACTCCATTCACCAGGGTCCATTATAATGACAAACCGAATCCCGAATTCGAACGGATTGGTATTTTGCGGGACACTGCAAACGGGATGTTCGTGTGTTTGTTTAGTATTAAACCACATAAACTACCATAGGCTGGTTTTTTTTTTTAATTTGGGTGTTTTGAATTTCAGAGAGAGCGCGGCGCTATCGGTTTACGCGTTGCTCTCTCCTACGTGATTTAGAATTTTAATTGTTGAAAGATTTTAGGTTGCTAACTATGTTTTCAATGTGGGTGGTAAATGTTGTTATGGAATCTTGCTTGGTTATAATACTTAGGTTGGGTTGCACCATCTTACTTTAACTTTAACAAACGTCAGCAATCTGTCAAACTCCATACAAAACACACCGGTTATCGTCATAGTTACAGTTAAAGATAGGTGGTGAAACTCAGCCTTAGAAGGATATATTTGTCTCTTTTAAATAAGTAACCTACAGTTTAAAATTGCTGTAATTTTAGAGAGCAATACCTACTATGTACTCGTACATATTAGGTACATACTTTTTGTGTAAATAAATTAAATGTTAACCTCTATCCGTTTTTGTTGCAGGTAACACACAGTTCGAGTTGACTTTGTGTAAGCAGTAATTAAGAAGTTAAATAATGATTTATGCCTAAGTTGCACCACCTTAATTTTAACAGTAACTCTGAACTCAACCGCCTCTGTGGTCTAGTGGTAAGACCACCTCCTTCAGACGCAGAGGTCCCGGGTTCGATTCCCAGTGAGAATAGATTTTTCTGTTCGGTTTGGTTAGTGGTAGGGCTTGTTCTAAGTCCGCCTGGCTAGCTACCACCATCTTACTTAAGTCTGTCGCCATAACAATGCTGTTAACTTTGTTGTGTTCCGGCAGTTAGAGGTAAGATAGCCAGTTTCTCCGTGGTTGAGGATTCCGGGTGAAGCTCGCTTCCACCTTCGGCCTGATCGTCACTTACCATCAGGTGAGATACAGGCCAAGAGCTTTCTCGTTGTGGATAAAAAAAACTATGTATTTTAACCGGTGTTTTTGCAATGAAATGAAATAGTTTATTCAGTACATAGGCCCTTTCCAGGGCACTTATAAACGTCCCAAATATAGCTTGCCCTACCACCACTTCGGGACAACATAAGGGTAACTGGTGCTGAGAAGAAGTGGCGGAAGAAACTCAGTCACCTTTATAATAGAGTTTGACAGACTTTTGACACTTTGAAATTTTGCATAGGGGTTGCCTTTCGAACGTAAGTGCTCACTAAGAACGGATTTTACGAAACTCCACCCCTAAGGGGGTAAAACGGGACTCATGCGTACGAAGTCGCGGGCGACCGCTAGTTTAGTAATAAACTCAGTTACATTTCTGTCATAATTTTGTCAACTCAAATTCTCGTTAAATGAAGACATTTATATAAATATAAAAAATCTCCATCAGGTAAATGCACGCCTCACCTTGGCCCACTTTGGATCCGGTTCCATAAGTGTGCCTGCGGTCTGTGGTGCAGACAAAACCGGCTGTAGACGTAAGCGAGAACCGTTTATGCGGTCGACGTTGGTTTTTCGAAGTAGGAAGAACCTCCGCCTTTTTAAAGTCGTTTAAAAAGCAGATAAACATTTTATTAAGGAGGAAAGAACTACGGGTTCCCACCTCTCGTTCTCACTGCAACTCCTGTGTAGCCAGGATCTACAGCTTGACCGCCAATGATGATGATGATCCATCCGACTGATTTCGGCCATGGCGACCACTCCGACTCCTAGCTGTCTTGGCGGCGCTGGTGTGCCCGAAGATGGCTTACGTAGCCTATTTTCGCGGTAAAATCCCTCGCGCATTGAGGGCATCTGAGCACGCCGCCAACATAGTTATAGTGAATGGCGGCGGCAGATGGACGGGCCTTCAAGTCATCGCGCTTCGCGTCGAGTTCAGTCGTACGCTGCACCTCGAACTCGTGGACTTGCCTTTTCACAATCTCCCGCCATTCTGGACGCTGTGCTGCCAAACCTTCCCACTGAGAGGGCTCAATGTTGCATCTTTTCATGTGCCGCTTCTGTACATCTTTGTACCTGAGGAGTTGACCGCCATGTTTCCGCTTACCCTCCTCAAGTTCAGAGTAGAAGATGCGCTTCGCCACTCTCTCCTCCGTCATACGTGATACGTGACCACACCATCGAAGTTGGCGACGCATTATATAGGCCTCAATGCCACCCACATGGGCTCGTCGTAGCACCTCGGTATTGCGCACTCGATCAGACCATCTGATCTTCATGATGGTACGAAGGCATTTGAGGTGGAAACGATCCAGATTGACCGCCAATAACCAACCAGTGAAGGTCAAGTTTGTCCCAGGGAAAGTTTAACTGTCATTGGATCCGCAACGAAATGTTTGTTTAGTAGATTTTTTGTCATCTTATTCCTGAAATTAAAACTTTCCTGAAAGTTACCCAAGTTGTAGCTATAATATGGGATACTTTTATCCCGGGATAACACAAAAACAAAGTGAATGCGACTGAGTTTTGGTTTTTAACAATCTAGCATTTTTTTTAATGACTTGTTTATTTTCCTACCCAGATTTTTTAAACGTATGTATTTTTATCTCTAGGCTTTTTGTATAACGATAAATTTTCTCAGAAATTAACTAAATAAGACAAGCTTTTAAGTAAAAGTGGACAGACGAGCGAAAGTTATTGTCCGAGTAACCGGTGTAGGCACGTCAGTTCAAACGCGAATAAAAAGTAAGTCGTTTACATATTTGTCAAGGTTTCAAGGGACTTCCCTTGGCTGCCTTTTTAAACCCTTTAGTTAGCATTTTTAAACCCTATTTAGCCTTTTTAAACCCTTATTTATTTAGCTTCAACTGCCTGTATTTAAATAAGCTTTTCCTACGGCTTTGTACGCGTGAATTTCGGTGTAACACATTTTAAAAAACTCATTTATTTTTTCAAATAGGCTCTTTAAAAATACTTTTACACGTCCCAGTATTAACTCTACCACTGTTTCGGCACAATAAATGGGCCAGTGCTTAAAAGAAGCAGTGCAAGAGACTCAGTCACTATTACCAGCCTCCTTATCAAGTGTTTTCAGTCTTTGAAATTAATTATACATAGTCATTATTTTATAGCAGGATTTTTTATCGATTTTATACCCGGTTTTTTATAGCAGGATAAAAAACCGGGATAAAAACTATCCTACGTTTTTCTTTAAGAGTCGCATCTCTAACTTAGGCAATTCCCATCTTATCTTTAAATTAGACATTAGGATAAGAAAGGATGTACCTATAATATTAGTAGGATAAAAAGTTGAATATCTCATTTTATAAGATCTGAAATGATTCCTAGACTAACATACAACATTAGAAAATGTAAAGTCTGTCAATGAATTCAAAAAGTTGTTAACATAAAAAGCTTGTAGTATCAAAAACAACTCTTTTAAACTTGTGCGTTGGTAGGTACCTACTCAAATACAAACAATAGCATACATGACAGTGCCAATCCACTGACATACTTTTTTAAGTTGCTAGAATTCTGCTCTTTATTGACTGTGTGAGGAAATAGGTATTTACATTTAGGCATGACATAATATGTCATACCTACTCGCTTTCGAAGCGAACTCTGAATATTAACTTGGAAAAGCTTAAAATATTTTGACAGAATATTCTGTGGTATGACATAGAAAAATGCACACCCCTAGAGGACCTATAGGTAAATCCCGGGATAAAAAAAAACAGTATTTGTCATAGTTTTGTTTTGCGAGCCCAATAAATAAATTTAAAAAATAATTAAAATAAGTAATCCTCAGACAAGCAACGTAGTTTCGACAGGCCCTCCCCTCCACTAGGTGGACCGACGATCTGGTGAAGGTCGCGGGGAAATGCCTGGATCCGAGCAGCGAAGGACCGGTCGTTAGGTCCTTTGGGGAGGCTTTTGTTCAACAGTGGACGTCTATTTGGAACGAAAGCAATAAATGGGACCGAGTGCTTGATTTAAGCAGTAGGGTTAATACTGGGACGTTTAAAAGTGCTTTTTAAAAGCCTTTTTGCAAAAATAAATTAGTTTTATGAGTTTTTTAAGGCAAATTTTTATAGCGACACCATAAGGTATCTAAACATACGTATAGCGCATACGTTAAATGATGGTTTCTAAACCTTTATAATACCAACGAAACCACTTGAGTTTTTGAGTCAATACCAAAATGAAAGTGTTGCACTCGACCCACTCTCGTCAAAACGACGAAAGAGAAAATAACTGTTGAGTTTCAATTGGCGAATCTATTTCGAATATCTAGGTCATATTTTGTTAACTATAGTTGCTATACAGGTTGACTTTGTAAAGAATCCATTATTTTTAAATAAGCTCTATGGAACAATTTAACAATACAACTTTATCTTAATTATTTTCAATCGTGATATTTTTCGCAAAAATTTGAAAATCTAATTCGGGTTCTATATTGGCTCACATAAAATTCTAAATCCTATTCTTTGTCTTACTACCGATTTGTGTTCATAATAATCTCTCTTCATAATTTTTTTTTTCATACTTTTTTTATTCATACATTTTTATTACTATCATCGGAGCTCATAACAGTTAGTAATCATAATTTTTTTATCAATACTGTTACTACCAAGAACCATTTAAAATACATAATTTTTATTTTCAGATCTTTTTTCTTCATAACATTCATTGATCATATTGTTTTAATTAATAATGTTGTTACTAAGAACATACTTCAACTCATAATGTTGTTGTTCAGAATAATTTACTTTATAACAGACATACTCGTATCTTTAAAAAAATCATTTATAATTTAATAGAGTAGATAAGCATGCAGAGCATGCAGCATGAAAGCAAGCATGCAGCATGCATTGGTATCTCCTCGTCTCCGGCGCTGCGGGATGTGCAGCCCTTCCGCCCTTGCGTAACGAGGCTCAGGCGCCCACGCTTGCTTCCGCAGCTTCGGCTTTTTGGATCGCCATCGGCGCCTTCGGCGCCTCGTCGACCAGCCTCAGCCGCTCCAGCTCACCCGGGCGCCTGAGCCTCGTTACAGCGGGCGAGGGCTGCCCTCCCTCCGCGCCTCCGGCTTTTAAATTACACTCTAGGGGTAGGGCAGACAAGACTACGTGGAGTCGGTTTTGCAGCGATTCGTTTCTGTCACGTTAGTTTTGTGGCACAAAATATTGCCTGTTTTGGACCATTTCAAATTAATTTAATGTTAAAATACGATTTAATACGAATATAGACATCATGATTTTCAATAATATGGATAAATACACTTATGAGTAATAAATTTATGAAAACAATTATTAGGATACATCACATTTATGAATATTATAGTTATTTATTCGAATGATTATGAGTTTCGATCATTAGTATAGAAAAATATATGAAAACAAATATTAGTAAAAACTAAGTGTATGATTAGTGATATTATGAATATCAATGATTATGTTTTTAAATATGTAGGTTTTAAATTTTTTATGAAGAATGATCATTATGGTATCAAATTGTATGAGAAATATTTTCGGACCTCCAATGATAGGAATTGAAAAGTTATGTAAGAAAATGCGCTACCCTAATTCGCGGGTCCTCACTGCTCATATCCAAAGTTTTAAAGGACAAGGCTTATTTTCGCGCACCATAAGTCTATTAAGCTATGTAGGTAATTATTAACTGTATGTACGTATTTTTCTATGAACGAAGTAAATTATCCACGTAAGCCAATTTTGAATCCGCACGAAGCTGGTAAAAATAATTCAAAAAGAAAAAAAAATGTTTTCTTTAAGTAAATCGATTAAGTTACTGATTCCGAGTCGCTCCTAAAAATTTGGACACTGATTGCTAATTCACCCTGTATATGCTGACCCAAGTGACATACCTTAGTCTAGACTCTAGTATGAGTCCACGCTTTCTATAAATTGACACCTATAGCTGACCCGGCGAACTTCGTACCGCCTATAATAAAAATTAAAATTGTTTATTTTATCAGACACTCATTCTAGTACATCAACATTTTTTGGAAGATAACAATAATTGTTGTTCTGAGTGTGCGATCTGGAGCCTAAACTAGGGCCACCCTGTATTTCAGGCCTCCAAATCCAACCAATCCAATCCTCCAACAGGCCTATGATCATAAAAAATAATGTAAAGAATTTTTCAAATCGCTCCAGTTTCGGAGCCTATTCCCTTGAAACAAACAATAAAATCATTCCTCTTTATAGTATTAGTAAGTATAAGATAGTATATTATTTCGATTATCCCTTGTAAAATATAGGTATTTCATTCAGGATAATCCACTCTTCTCGTGAATGTCGTAAGATGCGACTAAGGGACAAATATGCGAGCATCAGGCCTCCCCAACCCGTCTGGCCAGCGTGGGGAGTGTAGGACAAATCCTCTTGCCTCTGGTCAATTAGAGACGTGCTCCTGCAGTGGAGACTAAATGACTGAACATTATCATGTAGGATAATTTTTATCCCGATCATCTTGGTTTTCAAAATAGTGAATGCATTGAGAAATAAATAAAAATATATTTATAATTAATGTAGAGACGGTCTAGTACCTACCTAAGAATAATAATGAAATTATTAATTTATTTTTTGTCAAATCAAAAATAACACTGGGGAACAGTCATTTTGCGGCATGGTAGTTTAGAGTCAATTCTGTATGCGACTAGTGTGCTGAATACTAGAAAAATACTAGATTTGTCAAATTGACTCTAGATCTTGAGATAAATACTATTAACTGTTTATATGAAAAAAACCAAAATAAAAATACCAATCTGTATAAAAAAAAAATTACACTAAGATCCTATTTGAGAACGATATAAAAATTAAAAATATATTTGCTTTTCATCAAATAATAGAAAAAAAAACTACAAAAAGCTTTTTCTGTAAGCTTTTATGTTATGGTTTTGGTCAGGAAAATTCCATAATTATGGCAACAGTAATCAGCCATCATCTGGCGGTCCCATTGACCGTGGATGTCATTCTTCCACTATCCTGATGTTCTGGTAGAACCGTTCTGCTTATTCCTCACTGTAATCACCCAGATTATGGGAGAACGTGTCCAAATGGCTATTGTTAAAAAAAATTAATACTCAAATTAGATCCTTATGTGTTAAATTTTTCAAACAACCAATTCTGAAAAGCCTGGTGCTCTATGACTCCCCAAATATTGTTTGATTACTAAAACAAAGCTTAGCCATGCTTCAGATTCAATTTGTGTTATGTGGTTTACAAATACAGTGTCTTAATGAGAGTACGGATTTGCGGTCAATCGAATTTATTTTTTCCGTATTCAAA